ATCGGCGATATTTTAAGATAAAAAATATATTCTTTATTTGGATGAGCGATTCTTTTTAGGACATTATTGACAAAAAAATGTAATGTAGTTTAAATCTACATGTTGGGGGACATTTAGATTTTTTTTAAGACCTGTCACGTGATGTCGACGTCACATGATTTTAGCAATTAAGCTTGCAGTTTGAAGGTCATCTATAAATTCCAATATTGCAAGGGCATAACCAAGTCAGAAATCTTAGTTGAATTTATAATCCTTTTCAACACTATATGTAGTTTGTGAAAAATGCTGCGAACCTACATAGATTTCCTTTTTAATTGATAAAATTGAATTTTTTTGACGGCAGGTTGAATATTTTGCTGGTCAACTACATTAAATATAACAATACATTAATTTTTTTGCAAGATCTCAAGAGGTTCGCAGCACTTAAAAAATATATTTATACTACTTGAGTTTAAGTGTAAAATCTTGACAAGATACACTGAGGGTATGCCTTTGCAATAAATCGATCTATTAGGGCCCTTCCTTTACTTTTTCAATAATTCTACATACAAACACAAGACAGTATCACTTGTCTTGGGAATGTACGGACAGTTTATCAATAAAATACTAAAATAGACATTGCATCCAAGTTAACGGCCTTTTATTTAATTGCAAATAATATTTTATTTAAGAACAAAAGACATTTTTTCATTGTACAAAATGTGACTTGATCAACCTCTCACTGTGTAGAAACTGCGTCATTTTTGTGAGATGACGTCACATTGACAAGTACATTGCGATCGATGCATCATTTATATACCTTTGTGTGGGATTTAACAAACGACAATACTGCATGTACGAGGGGTGTTAGAAATGTTCGCGGACAAGTTCTAATGTGAGCGTGCTATTTCCACGAAACCGGTCAAACTTTCCAAATAAAATCTTAACCTTTTTTCCAATAGATATACAAGAATTTGGTGCTCTCCGGTGATTATTGAAATATATACAGCTTTTTTTATTTTGATAAAACTTGCTGCACGGAGCATGCTTTATTTTGGCACGTTTACATCACACAGATTCTTTATTAAAATTAAAAATCCACAATTGTAGCGCAAAGAGATTTATGATTTTTTACCTGCCGCTAAAGTATTCATGAAACGTCACTTGGAGAAATTTTGAACTAAATTGCAGAGTATATGACTGTTTTATAAAGCCGTTTTTAAATGATCAACGCTTAAAAACACAGCCAAAAATTGGAACGTCATTGAGCGTCATGGAACACTGCACTACGTAAAAAGTATGTGTGTAGACAGGAAAATGTCTAAAAAGAGATTAAAATGTTCAAGATGCTGCTGAGAATTTCCTACACATGCAAAGGACAAGTTTTCAAATGGCTGTAGCTTCATAAGAATGGAAGGATTAATATTTTGAATGAATAACTGCATCGATACTTCAATATCTCCTTATCGCATGGACGTTGCGTTGCGCCTATATAGTTTCAATACCTGATCGATTAACTGCATATACTTTCTTAAAGATCTCAATAATATCTTAATCAGTACAAAAGATATTATAGTAGAAAAGTAACATGTCTTGATATAGATATTCAATTTTAAAGTAGAAAAAATAAAGAAAATCTGAAGAAATGAAAGATTTATAGAACTGCGACAAAGCTTATCGGGTTGAAATTTGGTTGTCACGTCGCCTTACGTCAAGTGATTGCTCCGTGAATCCCATGACCTCATAGTACAAATCGTTGTAAATTTTCAAGATTTTTATATATCGACTTGATTTTTTACATACCAATAAACAAAATATAAGAATTTATTCAGACATAGGTCATACTTCACAGAACAAAATAGAATTTCCGTAATTCAATGTGTCCGCCAACTTTTCTTACAACCCTCGTAATAGTGAGTTAGTATGTAGTATACAGGTATCCAGCTGTTTGAAATAAAAAAAAATATTTTGTGGTATTTTGAAGACCTTATATTATATGTGACGTTATAGTAAACATTTCCCGTACAAATTAGGCCCCGCCTTCTTACTTTAACCCTAACTGTGCTGCGTTGCATACATGTCCCCTACCATGTTCCCTTTTTTTCTTTAGAATGTCGTCGCCCGCGTGGCGCAGTGGTTAGAGCTCTAGAGCCGCGAAGTAAGGAGTTAATCCTTACGTCGCGGGTTCGAATCCCACTGCGGGACGTGGAGACCGGTCCTTCGGATGAAACAGTATAAACCGAGGCCCCGTGTCGCAGTAGGTGTTGGCACGAAAAAGATCCCTCACTGCTCAAAGGCCCTGAGTGCCAAGCATTGGACAAAATTTGTAGCCCTCCACCGGCAAGTGGTGGCGTCTCCATATGGGTGAAAAATTCTCGAGAGGGACGTTAAACAATATACAATCATCTATAGGATGTCACTTTACAGAATGCAAAATTTATGTCTTTTGTCGCTTCATATATACCATGTTGACTTTCGGGATTTAGCGCAGCACAAACCCGATCTTAAACCATTATGAAAAATTAAAAATGCCATAATTCTGTCAAAAATCAATCAAGCGAAATGAAATTCAAATTTGATGTGTAACTTATCAAGATATACTCACATATAAAAACACAGCTCAATATCTGACAAGCGTTTAGAAAAAAGTGCGGAAAACCAAGTAGAACAGATTGGCAGACAGACGGGACAGCTAGACTGACGAACGGACAGACAGACGCAGAGGAAACCTATAGTTCCCTCCGGTTTCACTGGTAGGGGACTAATAATAAGTTTTGGCATGTTTTCATCATATTTTGTGCAAAAATCAGAGACATCCTGCATGGTGATCACTTTGGGCGCCTATATTTTAGAATGTCTTAATGCAAAATACAGTTACATGTATGCATCGACCTGATATTAAATTCAATGTAACTTATTAATTGTGTTCCTTAGATAGAAGAGGGCTTGTATTTAGCAGCCTTTCTGTACCTTTTAAGAACAAGGTCATATCAGTAGGTCAGAGGTCATTAATTGTGAAGTCATCTCCTGAATCTTCATGTTTTATTTTGGCACTTAATTTTTTTTTAACGCGAAAATGTTTAAAACTACTGATTCAATTATCTTTTTGACATATTTTTAAAATATTTATTCCTTGACTTATTTAAATCATTCTGTTGATTTTTTTTTTGTAACAATAGATCCATGGGCCTTATAGGTCACCTGAGCATCATGCAACAACTTTCCAATGATTAAATTTGGTTCATGTTTTAAACTAGACACCATGGCATTCACAATTTAAAAAAGAAAAAGCACCATTTCCCATCATTCCTATACAGTTGGCAATTGCTTAGTCTGGTTACTTAATACGCATAGGCAGAGTAGAGGGGGAAAATGCATTTCAACTGATCAGTAATATTCAACAAAAATCAGCAGTGCCCCATACCACATTTGAACCCCTGACCTTAGGTCCACACATGTCACAATTTTGGAAAAGGCACCCATGCTAATAAAAATAACAATACCAGGAGCAGATTTCATAGAATTAATTCATTTCAGTATAAAAGTAGACCCCCCCCCCTCTGTGGCACCCCTGACCCACCAGGGACCTTGAAATTCACAATTTTGGAAGAAGGGCCCTTACTAATAATAGCTATAAAGGTAGTTCCTCTGCTTAATACCCAGGAGCAGAGAAAAAGATTTTCAAAGATTACGTATTTTAACTATTATCAATTGTACCCCACCCTAAAACAAGAACCCTTGACCCTGGGACCATCAAGTTCAAAATATTAAAAGAGGCACTCTTGCTCATCATACTTTGTACTTAGGTAATTCATTTAATACCTAGGAGCAGGAAAAGAAGATTTTAAAAAAAAAGTAGTACATTTTCACTATATAATCAATAGAGCCCCACCCTAACACAGGAACCCCTGAATCTGGGGCCATGAAATTCACAATTTTGAAAGAGGCATTCATGCTCATCATAACTATGGACTTACTTAGTTTGTTTAATACCTATGAGCAGAGAAGAAGAATTTCAAACAATTAATGCATTTTCACTATATAATCAATAGAGCCTCACCTTGACGCCAGAACCCCTGACCCTGGGACCATAAAAATCACAATTTTGAAAGAGGCAATCTTGCTAATCATAAGTATATACTTAGTTTATTTAATATCCAGAAGCAGAAAAGATTTTCAAAGAAATAATGCGCTTTTACTATTTTATGATCTACATGTATATAGCCCCAACTTAACACCAGAACCCCTGACCCTTGGGCCACGAATTTCACAACCTTGGTAGTAGACTCAATTCTTATTATCATCATGCCAAAAGTTTGTCTGCTAGATGTCCAGTAGTAAAGTAGAAAATTTTTAAAGATTGCATTAATTTTGGTGGTTTTGGCCCCACCTCTCTGGCCCAACGGGGGTAGGGGCCATGAATTTTACAATATTTTTCCCTTTACACTCAGATGTTGTATACCAAATTTGATTGAAATTGGCTCAGCCGTTCCAGAGAAGAAGCTGAAAAAATTTACGACCGATTGGCACCGGACGATAACAGATAGCAATAGGTCACCTCAGTGACTCAGGTGACCTAAAAATTGAATCATGCATTTTCCCTGAAGAAAACTTAAAATGTATTTTATTTACATGTGAATGTTCAATTCTGAAGCTATGTACATGTATGTTGTATGTTGTAGGTTGTTGGCCTCGAGCAATAGAAGATACTGATCAGAGCTGTTCCTTGCACCTTGGGAAAAATATTCTGGTCTATTGACTGTTCAGGCATTAAATAATTCTAAAATTTATATCATAGATGCGCAGCACCTCCAAAACACCAATAGTGTTAATTGATACATACTCCATTTGCCAGTTTTGATCCGTTGATTCCTTATCTTCATTAATTATGATTTTGATTTTTTGAAATAAAAAAATCATTTGATAGCACGTTTTTTTTAATCTTTAAGTGTAAAAAAACAAGCGAATGTAAAATATCAATTTATATATTTTCTCAACAAGTATTAGAAAATTCAAAGTATATCTGAAAAAAAAATATTATTTAAATAAGTTGAACGTTTATTTCTTACCATCAATGGATTGTCCTAAGTATTGCATATTATGAAATTGCATATATCATAAATAATCATTTTACAATCTACAAATGATTTCTATGTCTGTATCCTTTTTTTCCTTAAGCAAGTGAGTTTGTCATACATAAAAAAAAAAACAAATTAGACGTTTGTCTAGAGACCTGTCGACTGTTTCAAAAAGAGAGTGTTTTCCTTTTCCCCGGTATCCTTTTCTAGCTTCTGAATATTCTTCAACTTCAAAGCCTCGTCTGGTACCTGGCATGAATTGCAGTAACATTTGTAGTTTTTATCCTGTTTAATACAAATAAATGCTTTTGTAAGAAAGTCTTTCTAAGTTCATCGTAACTATATCTTACAAATTATGCATATACAATATACAATTCGTTTGTTGAAGACAACGTATATAAATGCACATCATACAAATTAAGACTAACGCAGGTACATTAAGGTTTCATGTAGAAAAAAAAACGTTTTGTCTCTGCCTTTACTCCTTTGAACTCCCTACAACTTGAGCTGTCATGATGAGGGGGGGGGGGGGGGGCTGCCATAAACATTTCACCTTATTTCAATATACATGTACATATTACTTGTTACAGAACTAGTGTAAAATGAAGCAGAATTTGTTCAAAATTTTATGCGTGAAAAAAATAAAATCCTACCTGTGGTCTTCAACTCGACATTCAGGTAAATCGACAATTTACAACGGTCATTCAAAGAAATACTTATACTATGCTCCTCGTCGTATTATTATTATTACAAAATCAAAGATTAAGTCACTTTCTTAAATAAAACATTCTTTTCGTATAATTTTTAAGTTTCATATTCCATTTCAGTAAATAGGACTCATGTAAGCTAACCTACGGAAAACGTTTAACCAGCATTGTGGTGTCAAAGACATCGTTGAAATAGTTTCCCAAAAATAACTGTACATTTTAATTTCATACACAGTTTATAAAATGAAAATTAGTAAATAACTCAATTTTGACGCTGCTTCGTGAACCAGTTTTGTTGTTTTCATTTTTTGTTTTACTAATATGAAGATATTTTCCAAAGATTTTCTACAAACTTTTTAAAATACCCTCGTATTATCAATTATATTGAACAATGATAGTTAATGTCCATGTCTATGCTGATACGATAAATTCTGGTGAACATGAGATAAAAGATGCCATAGAGTCTGACACATTTGTTTCATACTTGGATATTTTTACTTGAAAAAGATTATAATCGTAATCTAACAACCATGCTCTATGATAAACGTGATGTATTTAAGTTTTCTATCGTCATCTTCCCTTACTAATGCAGCAATAAATCTGCATCACCTGCAGACGAAGTTTATATATCTCAGTTGATTCGATATGCAAGAGCATGCTTTACGTCTGAACAATTTCTAAAACGAGGTAAACTATTGACAAACATGTCGATGAAACAAGACAATCAGAAGCGTCGTTAAAAGTCATTTTTTCGTAAGTTCTATACAATACAAAGACCTCGTCAGCAAATACGATGATCATTGAGTCAAATGCTGACTGTTGTTTTTTATACTAATTGTTAGTCCATTATTTATACACTGAATTAACGACAGATTGTTCCGTTATTTCATAATTATGACAGGAAGCACGCGGCGAGTGTGATGGGCGGCTGGGGATGCTCACTCCATCATGGCATCTGATCCCACCTCTGTTGTTTCGGAGGGCTATGTTTGCTCCACTCCTATTTTTTTATTGTTTTATGGACTTTGATATTAAATCTATTCATTATCTTCCTATCATTTAATTTAATCGTATTTTGGAATCTTAGCATCGGATATTTGAAAAAAAAAAGTATTATGTGTGACTGTTTTCATAACTAATACGAACAAGAGGCCAACGAATCACACTTCTCACCTGGGGCCGATTTACAAAAGGACTTACGACTTAAGACCAACGTCGATTATTCACATAACTTTTTAATTAACATTATATTGAAAATTATTTCAACCCTTTTAATAGGAATGTGGTAAGATATTTATACACCAAAAATTTCTCAGAGAATTATTTTGCAGAATTTTACAGTTTTTGGTCTTAGTCGTAAGTTCTTTTGTAAAACGGACCCCTGTGTTCTATGCCTAGGAAAAAAAAATATAAGCAAGAATTAGTTCAGTATTAAAAAAATTTAATGCATTAGTGGTTAATTGCATCATTGATTAAAAGTGACTATTCTACTTAAAGTATGAACTCTTTTGAGGTCCCAACCAACCAAGATTGTCTGGATTTGAACAAACCTAAATCTACACTACCATAGGATGATTTATATAAATACGACTAATTATGGCTTTCCTGATCTTGAGAAGAAAATTTGCAAAATTGTATGCAAATTATTGTTTTGAACGCATGTAAAGCTAGCGCTTTAAGAAGCCTTACAATTGCTGCAAACAAAATTGCTCCCTGTTTAATTTTACAACAGATCATAATATTCCAAGGATTGTCGATATTGCTGTAGAAATATCAGCAGTTCAATTGTTTTGTTACTACAGGTGTATTTGTAAAGTTTTGAACAAAACCTTGGTAACATCTCACAGTCATGTGAATGTTCTTTTATTTCTGATCAAATGCATAATATTTGTGCATAACATACGATACGTTTATATTATAAGATGAATTAAAAACTTTATTCTTTAAGATATATACAGGTACCTCTAATGCTAGCTATTTTTATTAGTCCAGTTGCATCCAGATACCTAGAGATCTAGAGACACATTTTATAGGGGACGTCATGAAATTATCGAAATATGCATCTCAAAATGTACTTGATATAGATATTAAATAACAATTGACATACCTTGAAGCTCAAAACAGTAGACTTAAAATTTTGAAATCACAGAATTCATTATATTGTTGAGTGCTCATTTTTCTAAGGTTTTCATGTATATATACCTACCAAAACACATCACTAATGTGAGTGTAGTTCTTTTGCAGTTAAGGGAGAAAAAAACTTAAATTTTCTACATATTTTAAATGCCCTATAGTTTCACGCAAATTACTTTGAAGGAAATGAAATATATGCATTTGAAACTTACAAGTAATGAGATATGTTTTAAGTTTTTAGCTTTGTCAAATATATGTGTATACTCAGTTATTCGTTTTAAATGTCTACCTTTGTTTTCCTTTCATTCAATTTTCTGTCCCTGTAAAACAGTAAATATTAGCATTATTTGCTAGCATTTAAATCAAAAAATGTTCAAGTTTGAACTATTCAGCAAAATGGTTTATAATAATAGTGTTTAAATCATTTCATTTGATATACTTATTTCTGTGGAGATCAAATATTACATATATAAAAAGCATATTCACATGAGTGAAATATTCACATGAGGGACGTTACAACACAAACAAACACATATAAAACAATCAAAGAAAGCCAGCATCGTTTTCCCGACTCGGCGTCTATGACAATATCGATCAATCAATCGTTTATTAATTGTTTCAAGTAACAACGACTTTCTATTTCATTATATCTTTTATATATTCTATGTACAGACCCTGAGACGTGCTGCTACCCCAAAAAAGCGTGTAACTTTCGTGCGCTTTCCATTGTGTGCAAACCATGTAGCGTTTCGTGTAAACCGTGCAGCGTTTCTTGCAAACCGTGTAGCGTTCGTGTACTGTTCGTGCAGCGAGCGTGTGGGGTAGTAGCACGTCTCAGGGTCTGTATGATTAATGAATAACTGTATAAACTTTGTTGGTTTCATGGTGTGATCAATCGATTAGCATGCGTGATAATATGTACAAACTCTAAATAACTGAATTTTTATGCACAAAATTTTCACGCAAGCCAATGGATTGATCATCGTCATGATGCAAAAAAACTTACTGTTAATTCTTATATTTACGTGTACATTCTATTGATTTTGCAAATTTTCAGGTTCTATACCCCCTCTTCTGTCTTTATTTGTCCCGTCCCGCACGTGACTTCTTTAATCTCGCGTTTTCATTTTCTTTAAACTTTATCTATCCTTATGACGTTCCATTTGAAAAATATTTACAAAGTTTCTAATGCCCTGTTCACACGACGAGTTTAATTCGCAGTAAATTAATGCGAAGTAAACTAATGCGAATCAAAATAATGCGAATTAAATTGCGTTCACACGACAGCTAATGCGAAGTAAACTAATGCGAATTTTATTCTACTTCTACGACCAGGCGTCAGTAATTCTATTATGACGTCATTTGCAAATCACGTCATCTTATGCAGGAGCAGATGCATTTGATATAATGTTACAGTGTCTGTACACACATTTTAGTGATTAACACAATTTTCCTTACTTTTTCACTCAAAAAATAGCACAAATACTTCAATTTGACCACGGACATGTGGCATTTGACCTTATTTTGCCATTACGCATGCCTCAAAATTTAATTCGAATTAGCTTCGCTTGGCGTTCACACGGAGCTAATGCGAAGTAATTTAATGCGCAGTAAACTAATTCGAATTAAACTAATTCGCATTAAATTCTCCGTGTGAACGCGAAGCGAAGCTAATTTGCAGTAACTTTACGTAATTCGAATTAAACTTTCCGTGTGAACAGGGCAAAATTATGAGGACGCACTATTACAACGCACTTTAAAAAATTCCGCACTTTGATATTTTTTTTCAAAGTGCGTTAAATTTGGGACCAAATCAACACAGTTTGAAAAACTAAAATTTCTGTTCAAACGCACTTTGAAAAAATGTGTATTGCTTGGTCAATATTCTTGCAAATCTTAGGTATGATAAATAATTGAAAATGTCTGATAACTCTTCAATGATTAGGTCACTTCAGAATGTAACAGTGAGCGATTTTGATTTTTCCATATTTTGAAAATTCTTTCTCTCTTAAATGTTTTACTGTACTTAATGTTTTTCAGTTTGCATGTATTTTATGTAAACTTATATTTATTGAAAATTTTCAACGTTTTTTAGTTTGCATGCATTTTATGTAACCCCAAATTTATTGAAAGTTTTCAACGTTATACCAGTCATGCAAATACATATATTTGGATGTAGCAAAGGCATCAGTACTTGATGGGGCGGGGGTAGTCACACGAATGTTTTGCAAAAATATACATAATGTAAGCATCAAAATTTTGGGCTTACGGTACCTTTGGGGGTGGATTGGTGGGTCTACACTCAATTTGCTACCGACGGCTTTGTACAATGTAAGAAAAAAAGAGAGTTGCGCTGAAAGATCTTCTACTCGTTTTGTCCTTGTTCTCAAAAAGGTTAAACGAGTTCATGTAAATTAAACAGTTTTTCGAAAGATATAATTATTACAAATTGATTCTCTCAATTACTAAAATCTATAAGTCTAGAATTTTTTTTTTTTAGTATTCATTTTTTTCAAAGTGCGTTTAATGTCCCCATGGTAAAAAATGCTTATGTACACTCTTAAAGTTTCTGAAACGTTCTACTTTCCCATTTTCCGTTCGTTCAGCGTGCGTTCACCGTTCGCTCTCCGTTCACAGTAATGCGTTCACCGTTCACCGTGCACTCGCGTTCACCCTTCACCTTTCGCTCTACGTTCCGTTTACTTTGCGTTCACCTTGCATTCACCGTTCACTTATCGTTCAGTCTTCATTGTCATTCAGAACTCCGAAGTGAAAGGACTTATCTTTTTGATGGTAAAGATTTACATGTTTATTTATTAAATAACTTAGATATCGTGTTTGAAGAATAATTATTTCATTGCAAAAAAAAGATATATGATATTAATATTTCTGTTATCATTATTCAGCTGTAACGTTATTCATGTAATTTCCTTGGAAAATGATACATTTAGTACCTACATGAGTATAGAACGATGCTAAAATATTAAATCTAAAAAAAGGGCAGTGTACAAATGCTCCGCGCACGGCAACAATTTGTTGCAATGTTAATGACGACAAATCATTAAGGAATGTATAGTAATTAATCCAAAACTTTTACAAGACAAGAATACACAAAAAAAATATTTCTACAGTAACACGTATTTTATACTACACGTAGGTCTGAGATTTATGAACAATTCTGCAAATATTCACTTCATTAAATATCTTTAGAGCTAATTAAATTGATAGCGTGACTTTAAATTTTAGAAAAAGACCAACTGTTAAAAATAATTTATTATTAGAGAAGGAAATGCCTTTCTTCACCGTACTAAATAAATGTTTGCCGTGCAGTATAAGCCCCCCCCCCCCGGTGCCTTTTCTCCCGAAAAATTAAATATTCTTTGTGAGTATTTTCAGTATTTAACCTACTTAATGTGTATTGTACCTCAAGAAAATCAGTCTTAAAACCAACACCAAAGAGTCATTTAACAATAGTACTTTAGAATACACTTGTGCCGACAGTAGTGTTTTAAATTAGCAGGGAATATGTTTCAAACTCAATTTAAAACTTAATCCTTCCAGGTATATATTTCCATTATTTATTATTTTTCTGCAGGAATGCAAAAATCAGATCTAGAAATGATAGGGAAAAATATCAAATCTTCTTGGAAACATTAAGTGACTACCTTCGGCATGTTCGGTGAAACGCGATTTCCACACCTCCGCTGTGTCGCATGATATTGATTGGCAGGACAAACACGTGGTCTTCCTGTGAATCGTGTAAACTTGATGACGGAAAATAAAAGCCAATAATTACTGTCAAATGGATTTACTGATCTAAAAAAAAATTGATTACCTTTACTGCTTGGAATATTTAGGAAAAATAATAAGAATTTTATTTAATACAACAGATCTCTCTCTCTCTCTCTTTCTCTCTCTCTCTCTCTCTCTCTCTCTCTCTCTCTCTCTCTCTCTCTCTCTCTCTCGTACATTTCTCTGTTTAATAAAAACTGTGACAGCACATTACTTATTTAGTTTTGAAAATTTAATCTATATCAAACGTTTGAATGCCTCTTTATTTCCATCATCTTGCCGAGTATCATCACGGCCGGGAAATGTCTACATATACATGTACATGTAGAAGTAAGCTAAAATAATCATCATAAAAGAATACAAAAGACACATAAATAAAAATATTTTGTATTAGAATTTTAAAAATTCGAGAGGTTTTATGAAATACGTCAGCAGACAATTGTGAATTCGAAAAAAAAAATCCGTTATTTTACTCATAGTCACCTTAGCACGGAAATACATGTATGGTTGATTCAACCACATACAATGTAATTAATTCATTCTACAAGTAGTAGTTTTATCTTCTAATGTCCATATTATTTTTTAGTGAAAAGATATTTACTATACATATAAATACATGTAAATTAATTTAATATATAAACTACACACGTTCGGTAACAAATACACATCTTTTACGGCAATTAAAATCGTGTTATAAAACTATCGATTAAAATCAAAGGTGCATATTAAACAGAAAAAAATGTTTTTATTATTTATTTATTTATTATTTCATCTACTGGGTATTTATATTAAAGCAACTGAAATAAGAAATACAGAATAATTTTAATGCAAGGAAAAGATCTGAGGCATTCCGAATAAATCGTTCATCTTGCGTTCACCGTTCGTTCACCGTTCACTTTGCACTCGCGTTCGCGCTCCGTTCGCCTTATGTGTTCACCGTTTACACATCGTTCACCAAGTTGCGTTCAGCGTTTGCACATCGTTTACTCACTGTTCGCTCTGTGTTCGTTCACCGTTCGATCACCGTTCAGGTGGGAAAGTAGAACGTTTCAGGGACTGTAACGCACTTTAAAAACAATTTTTTAAAGTGCGTTGAGTGTGTCTAAAATTTAACGCACTTTGAATTTTTCTTTTCAAAGTGCGTTGATTTTGTCCCAATTTTAACGCACTATGAAATTTTTTTTCAAAGTGCGTAATTTTTTCAAAGTGCGTTGCCACAATGCACGTTGTGGGACTTGTCAATATATCATGGAGTGATGAACGTATAGCTTTGACGGAAAGCAATTTACTGTCAATGCAAAAATGTATTGTACCACTAAAAATGTAATATAATTATGTAATTTCATACAGTTTATATATATATGTCATACACTTATTGATTGGTATGAATATGAATGTTAGTAGTTTAGTTTATATAGTCATGTACTTACAATTTACAATACATGAAAGACACGGCAGTTACAATGGTAATCATGATCACAACGTCACCAACAATGGTTTCAACCAAGCTCCTGAAAGAATAAGAACTGTTATAATATATATAATTAATGATTTCGATATGGTTAGCGTAGGTTTAAAAAAAAGAATTCATTATCATGATTAGCGAAATACTTTTTTTTACCCACTGCTGTTTTAACACCTTTCTGGAATAATTTTAACCAACAGTTAAATGACAAGGTAGACAATGCAAAAGCCAATAATGTAAGAGGAAAATTATAACGTAACGACTGGTAACTTTTAATAATAAAGACATAAAAGACACAATGTATTTTGCAATTTATATGTCAACTCGGGTAAAAGTGGCACACAACGTCCTGCGGTAATGGTCAAGTACGTTATACATGTAAATAGTACCAATAAAGAGAATTATTGTCACTCAAAAAATCTCTTCTTTCGCATGCAGACAGTACCCCTTGACCTTGCAAAATACAAATACTTAAAATAAAATAAAATACTTTCAAATACAGTGAAAACTGTCTAATCCGACACCTAAATAATCCGACACACTGTGAATTCCGACGTTAAATTTCTTTCCCATTTCACTATTTTCCATGTTTTTAACACTGTGCAATCCGACACCCTGTCTATTCTATTTAATATTATAGTGTATTAATTACTCTCAATACCTTTTAAGAATGTAATAAAGTACACATCATTTCATTAAATTGTACTTTTTTTTAATTGGGAAAAACAAATACTTGAATAATTTGACGCAGTAGTATTATTAAATTTGTCCTTTCTTATTCCACTGGGCAGTGTGTTAACCCACTATGAATATCAATAGTTATTTAATTACTGAACACATTACCGTCCTTTAAAAGAGGACTGCAATACATGAACCCTATGCATGACTTCCTGAATAAAATACACATAAAATTTCTATATATAGTAATTATAAAAAGGAATTTTTTTTTGTATTATCTTGTTATTTTCATCGTTTTTCAGTCTCGTCTTGAAATGATATCTGACCTTGGTCAGAGTGCCAAAGTTCCTGGTATCAAATGAAAGGTCATGTCACAAGGATTAAATATGTGAAGTATGAAAGCCATATCCCTAACCCTTTGAAAATTATTGTTAAAGTTTGTTTTAAAAAAAGGCAGTCAAACTCTAAGGTCAAGTTCAATGGGTCACAGCTCTTGGTATGGTATGAATGCATGTATGTGAAGTGTGAAAGCCCTAACCCTCGACGTTCAAAAGTCGTGGCCAAGGTTAAAGTAAAAGTAAGAAAATCTCCAAGGTAAAGATCATAGTTGTTGGTAACCAATGAACGGTCTTTACCACAGTGATCTTCTAATACCAGAACTAAGTCAAGTGTCATTTATGGTGCCTTTTACTCCAAACTTCCTCACAAAACTGTAAATTAGCATTCTGTTGGGCACTTTCATTACAGGATGTTGTTTTCTCATGGTTCTAATGACTTAAGTTGTTTTCTCATGGTTCTAATGACTTAAGGAGTGGATTTAAACCCATATTAAAGTTTGATAATTTCTATCAGCTGTTCACAAGAAGGTTTCATATTAAAAATATTATGACGTCATTTGGACATCATAATCACCAGAATTTTTAAAAGAATTTCATGAAAAATTGTCAGATAAAATGTATGCTAGTACACAAGATGCTGACTAAATATCTTTGTGAATGCTTGTGGTTTAATATAGTTATAGATGATTAAAATGGTAACATATGTTTTGGGACAAGTCTTAGTGTCTACCCTTTAAGAGTTATGGCTAAAGTTTAGGAATTTTTGTGTAAAACCGGGTCATGCTCCAAGGTCAAGGTCAAAAGATCAAATTTGGTGGTACCCAAAGAAAGAGCTTGTCATACAGAGTACACATGTGAAATATTAAAGTCATACCTCCACTACATCAAAGGCTATGGATTAAGGTTTTCTGTGGACAAACAGACAAAAAGACAGACAGACAGCTAGACGGACGGACGGACACGATAAAAACTATATACCCCCGAATCTTCGATTACGGGGGCATAAAAAGAGAAAATGTAACATTCAAAGAAGATTACTGTAGAAGTACTTTTTTCCGTGTGGAATTATTTTACGCTATGTACGCGGTCACAAACTTTCCGAAAAATTTGTTAAAGCGTACTTATATAAATGTAAAGATTATAGAGACAGTTTAAGAAATCCGCGTAATTTTCTACCAGCGGATTAAACAGAAATTGAGATTCCGCAGAATTATGACCCTGTGGAAAACAAGTAAGTCTACAGTATATAAAAGAGGTCATTGAATATTCAGATTTGGGTAGTATCACAAACAAAACGAAAGAGGGTATTGGTGTAAGCATTCAAGATTAATTGAGCAAAAAAGACAAATACTTAGTAAAGTAACATCAGAGAACGACAGAATTGGAAATATTAAAGATTAACATGAAAATCGTCTTTCGGGACATCTTTACCCTTAACAGGGTCCCCTTAATGAATTATCTGATAACAAAACTTGTTTGATGCGAGTATTGAAACAGATAATATGAGTCACTTACTTTACCTTCACCTTTTAAATAATAATAGAAAAGCATGACGGATACCAGCGGATATACTTATGAAGCTTTTGTTAGGACTATGACATATCTGAAGACGAACTTCAGACATACCTTAGTCCAAAATAAGACAATCGAAGCTATGTGCCAATGCACTTTGAAAAAATAACGCACTTTGAAAATATTTTTTTCCAAAGTGCGTTAAATTTGGGATCAACTCAACGCATTTTGAAAAATTTTTCAAAGTGCGTTAAGAGTCTACATCAAAATCTTTTACCATGGACACACTTAACGCACTTTCAAAAAAAAAGTAAATCATTTTTAGTAATAGAAAGATTTTATTTGTTATTTATCTTTCAAAAAAACTAACCCTAACCCTAACCTCAAAAAAGAATTGATTTACTCCCGTCAAAAAGAGGAGAAGATGGGTATAAGATCCCTCTGTCCAAATTTTTATCTTTCCAATACATAGGTATCAGTAACAAACGAGGGAGGGGAGCAATAAACCCAAAAAGGGTAAGCTGCATTTTCAATGCGTATACGATGTATATATATCTTTCCAAAATAATTGGGGGGCTTAGCCCCCCCCCCTCCTCCCCTGGCCCTTCGCCCAGTCTCGATGTCTATGCTATACTCAAAACATTCATATAATTATGTATTTACCTAACTGGTATGACGTTGAAAACTTTCAAAATTAAATGATTAAATTTAAACAGATGAAAACTAGAAACTTTTAAGCACATTAAAACGTATGAGAGAGAAAGAATTTTCATAGTTTTGAACAATCAAATTGCGCCCTTTTTATTATGATAAATGCTAAGTTGCTTAAAGCTGTCAACTTTTAGTGCTCCCCTCACACCTTTACATCTACTTATCAAAGACTAGATTTAAAAAAAAAAACGAATTAATTTTCTTAAACAATTGTCATTTCTTCAAGAAACTTTTCCCTATTATTTTATCAAAACCTCAAATATTTAAAACGTCAATATCTCAGGTCGTGAAGTGACTTTATCATAAAAAAGTTATCCAACCAGGATCTGTTATTTATCACACCGATTATTTGTAGGAATATTGATCAATCTTTACATTTTTTTTCAAAGTGCGTTAATATGGTCGATATTAACGCACTTTGAAAAAAAAATATTTTTTTCAAAGTGCGTTAGCTTGGTCCCAAATTTAACGCACTTTGAATTTTTTTTCAAAGTGCGTAATATTTCAAAGTGCGTTGTAACAAAGCTGTCCTAACTTTAAGACGACAGCGGGCTTATCTTAAAACACATATAAGGGTATTTGAAGAATCGCTGGTTTCGGGTAATCAACTAAGAAGTATTTGCTACCGTTAATAAATCAAATATTTTTGAAAATTATTAATTTCTTTTATGAACTCAATCTATTTAAAAACATTTTACCCTGTAAATGTATGAATCTGCCCGTACAAATGTAAGTAGAGAGAGTAGCAAATAAAATGCACACATTAATTTAAATTTATGTCAGGCCCGTAGGAATCAATTTCGAATGGAGGGGTGGAGGGCAAAGCCATACCTTTTCAGTTGGGGGAACTATCAACGTTTCATTTAGGGGCACAAACATGTAGTAGCTATGTTTCCTATTGCATTCTTTATATTGTCAAAATTTTTAGAGGCACTACCCCCTTCCCCCTGGTCCCCCGTTTCCTACGGTCATTCATGTATATAAAGGTTATAATTTTGAAGAAGATTTATTTAAGCCTTTCAGAAATAGATAAAAAAAAATATATTAGTAATTGTTCTTTTAATTGGGAGGAGGGTAGGAGGATGCAATCACAAGATGGTACCTTTGAAATACGTAAACTCAAGTTTAGAATTTAATACTTCTATATTGTACCAACCTGTTTCATTTTGGTAGTAGCTGGTGTTAATTACAAAGGTCACCAAGAATCACCATAGGAAAAATTTAAAGAAAATTCATAAGTTTGACTTCCTCTTTTCTTCCCAGGGAAAGAGAGAAAGAGAGAGAGAGAGAAGGGAATTTGTCCATCAACTTGGGACCAACAACGTCAAGAAATGATGTTTTGCCTTATTTCTTTCCTAATTTTCTTATCCAGCAATACAAATAGCAACGAAAAAAGTGTACTTGTCATTTATGAAGATCCGCTCTCTTTTGAACCCTCATGGTTTTCGCACAAATTAACGTCACATTGTTAGAATGCAAATTGTGTAACAAGGCATCACAATATATCTGAAAAAGATGTATTATTTAATTCTTATTTATCATTTACTTGAGAAATAATTTACACAAATTAACGATTTTGATAAGTTCTTGATAAGTCCTTGCCTGATAGATTGTGATAGTTTCAAAATGTTTTTTATGGTTTTTCATGAAATGTAGCCGTCCTTGTATATTGTCTTTTTCGAGAAGTTTTTTGCCTTAACTAGACATGGAAGTAGTGCAGTTGATGTAACTTCTGTATATACTATATTGTAACGGTCCAGTGATTTGACATATTGATATATACAGAGTTATTGATTGATACAGAGTTATTGGACCTGATTATTGTTGACATTGTAGGAGAGTTGAGATGAATTTGTATGTGTGTTAAAGTTACTTGGCATTGCAGGAATATGTATTAATTTATGCTTTGCATGTAATTGATTGGTGATTATTGACAAGTTTAAGTGATTTTTATGAGTTGAAATAGTTTGTGCACATGCATATGTTTTGAGTTACGTAGACATCAGCTGATCATAACCGTAGTAAAGTTGTGGTATTATTTTAGATTACTTAGAGTTTCAGGGACTTTAATTGGTCTTCTGTAGTATATGAACCATAGATTTATGGATTGAATCATGTTTTCCTAAAGTTTAACTTGTTTTCAGTTAATTATAAGCGGTTTATTGTCTTGTTGTAAACTGGTGGTAGCATTTCGACTGACCGCTAGGGGGAGGAAACGAACGACAACTCCAATATCAGCGGGATTGGCCTTTTAGATTGTGTCCGTGCATTTGCAAATACGCACCACTTGGGTGTTCGTGTTTCGCATGACAGGCCTTTATCTGGTGTGTGACATTGCCTTTATCAGTAAAAATATTTTTCTACAGATATTTGGTGAAATTATTCTATAATAGTTTTACCGTATATATAATTTGATTAAATGTAAATAATTCTTTTTTTTAAATACACGTCTTACTTGTACGACACAAGATTTTTTTTTCACACGTTCTTCTGCTTGCTCAAAGTTGCCCGCTGACTAAAAATTAAGGGAAATGTTTACAACGGTCACGTGAAAATTACACCTTTATTAATGTGTTAATATTTTGAAATATTTTTTTAACCTACTGACGTGTTTTTCTGTTGTGATTTTTTTTTTCATCGGGATCGGAGGCGTAGTTGGTATTTCATGATTTGTATAGAATAAAGTGCTGACAGTTCATAATTGCTATAAATATACTGCAATATAAAACACATTCCTTATTTATTTTTATTTTAAAATCATTCAAACCTTATATCCAGTTACATGTATGTTGCTTAATTTCAATCGCGCTCGAAATACTTTTCGTCGTTATCTTCCCTTACTTGCTTTCATCCAGGAGGACTGGGAGGAAGTTTTGAGAGTTAGTAGTTTTGTGAGTTGCATTGAAGTCGGTTTTAGACTGATAAGTTAGGACTAATAGGTGACATAGACAGACTGAGACAGAGGTTAGAATTTGTTGATTGTTTATTTACGAGATAATTCTTATAATAAAATGTAAAACTGTATTTTGTCTCATTTCAAGTACAGAGATTTACAAGGTTTTATCAAAGTGTGATTTTCCAATAAGATGGAAATTGTGGGATATAAGAGATTCAGAACTGAGTATTAAGATAAATAAGTATTGGAGAATTTTAGTGACTTCCTTGGGTCTATGTTGAAACGAGCTTGACAAATGGAGAAAAAAAAACTGAGAGATTTCGTGTATTTATAAAGTTAGTGTAACTTAGTCAGCATGGGTTAATAAAAGAAGGTTTAGGTTTTGGGCAGTGGTGTATTATCTGAGTTCATTGATTAAAGGGATATAATTAGGTGTTGTAAAATAAGATTTAAGTCTATTGAATTTTGAACCACTGTGCCATGCTTGCCCCCCCCCCCCCCCCCTTGAGCTGAGGTTGAGCTGTGTAACGCAAGTCTTTCCACGAAAGATAAGACAACCCCTAGATAGTGAGAGAAAGCGGTCCCAGTAGCAGTATTAGAGTAGAGAGAGGACTAACCCCCCCCCCACCCGTTATACTACATTAACATGACTTTAAAGCACAATATTACAACAGTAGCTTTCATCTGTTTCACTGTTTTCCATGATAAAAAGCTGACATTGTCTCAGAGTTACTTTGTGAAATCTAGCTTCATGAAAGATAAGCTGCATCTCAAAATTTAGACGTTCAGAGCGTAAATGTAAAATAATTTCCTATTTTATAGTAACAATTTACTACTTTAAGAGATAAACATTGCTTTATTGTCTTATCTTTTGGCAAACTTTCCTTAGACAGAATTGTCATTTTTCGGCGCCACATTTCGACAAAATCAAATGAGCATCGCAAAAGTGCAAAGTACAGTATCAAGGAAAGGTCAATCAATTAAATTTGTTAAACATATGGTGGAATTATACAGATGTAACATCATCTGATATTTTAATAAAGTCCCTTTTAAAACATCGACTTTGAAAACTTGAATTTGTTATTTTTAGGACCATGTACCTTTGCCATGAGATATTTGATGCATATTAGTGTAATATCTCGTATTCATATTCGATTCTGTTAAGTTTTATTAATATTGTAAGGAGAATGTGACATCATTTTGTTCGAAAAACCATGTGAGCTTAAAAAGTGCAGTAAACTGTTTACATTAGCTGCATTTTTTTTTAGCTCGCTGGTCTAAAAAATTGGAATGTAACATCCATTGAAAATAAAGAATATACTTACTCAGAACTTTTTTTTATAAATAAGGATTATAAAAAACGGTTAAAGTTTCTAAATCTGACATTCTTTTTTATAATCTTACCAAACATTTTCTCGTTTTTGGCTTTTTTCACTTATTGCCAGGGTTCTACGTTTTCCGTGTGTGTACATGTGTGCGACCGGGGCGTGATGGAGGTTATTAACAACATGCTTTTAAAAAATCAGGGGGAACTTACCCAAAGGACACCAGAACCCCCACCCTTCTCACATGTATATAATGGAAAGTTAAAATAGGAACGTCGTGTAGTGCTTATTTTACAAAAAAATAGAAAATACCCACAAGCTATTCCTAAGATGCATTTGTTTCATACCCTAAGACCTATCTCAAGATCTTTCTAAGATATGTCTTAAGAAATATTTTATGACGCGTCTTAAGACAAATCTTAAGAAATTTTCATGAGCAATCCTGTAGGTGCCACACTGGACAAATTTGGAGCCAATGACACGTCAAATGCCTAAAGTAAGAAATATCTTGCTCCTCTCTATAAAGCAGTAGCTGCTCTGAAGATTTGATCTTATGGGTATTATAAAATCCAATAACATGTATTTCAGTTCTTCCATACTCCAACTTTGCATTAAATATTTCAAAGATTGTTAAAGTGTTTAAAAAGAAGTATGATTATTTTATACAATATAAGATATAACGTTAACACTATTTTGACAGTCACGTGGCTCATGTGAGAATGACTGAAACTTGAATGGGCAAGTGACCTTCATGCCAAACTTCGTGCTTGTCTCACCAAGTGATTTTTTTCTCAACATTCCGCTCCACAATTGCATGTATACGCACATGTATACAAAAGTTAAAAAAAAGATAAAGCTGTAGAAACAAAAAGAATTACGGTATGGATAACTGGAAATTAGATTTAGAGCGAGGATAATCTCGCTTAGCTACTCCATAACTATTTAATTTAATTTAATCCGATAATCTAATTTTCATAATGGAAAAAAACATTAAAGTCAATACCTGGCACTACCCTAACTGATGGAAATCTTTGGTTGTAAAGAAAGTCTATGATTGGATATATTGTTTAGATCAATTTTTACCATGACATGTTTAACAAGGTTTATTTATTTTTCTAATATTCAATAAAAATGCTAGTTAGGGAAAAGATGCATTTCGATGAAATAAAGTTTGTCAAGGTCGTGTCTTTTACCTCATTGTCATAAATTTCGATAAGGTCCTGTCCGTCTATTTAGAAAAGCGAATTTCCCCCTATACATTGTGCATGTAGGGTGTAAAGTGTAAATGATTCATGGGATTGTATTTATACATGTTATTAATTTTAACAAATATGGAAAACAATATTGTGAGATTTGATCTTATTCAAGATATCACCAAGATGTCTGCAAAATACAAGAAGGGTGGTTAAAATATGCTGCTAAGAAATGAAAACAACTGCTGCAAAAGTTTTCATAAGAGAAAAATAAAATGCAGCATATAAGCTGAAAGGTGTTGACGTCTTTTCCTCAATGAAAAAAAACTGTTCCAATGTCACTTAAAAAGTATTCACCCTAGCCAACTCTACCTTATATACAAGAATCTTGATACTCACACTACATATAGATTCGACACACGCTTGTCAAACAAAGTTTTTGCGGTTCCCGGAATGGTGTAGGGTGACAGTGACACACTTAAAATTTGTTTTCCTGTCTCAAAGATTTTTGCATTCTTTGTATAGTTATAACAGTCTTCGTCTGCAAATAAAAATAATAATAATGTAACGTGCAACATGGAAATGTGAAAAAAATTGAACTTTACTAAACAATTAAATTATGTGATTTTTTTTTTACATATAGACTTTTACATTTTTCTGTCAAAAATTCAGTTAGTAATTAAACATTTTAAGTAATTTTAGTAATATGCACTTAATACGATTAGAACATAAATAATACAGAAATCTGAGAAAGGCTCAAATACGATATTATATTAAATATATAAAAATATTGCTGTTTGTACATACACATGAAGGCTTCATTGGAATAGTAGTTTTTCTTACACGGGTTGCTTTTAAATGTGGTACATCCCAGAAAAAGATTTTCTTGGATCACTCCAGCCTCTTCATTAAACTCGGCACAAAATCCTATAAAAAGGAAATAAGATCAATATATAAGTATTTAAGGTTTTTTTATGTTGTAAGAACTTGTAATCATTCCCTTTGTATAAATTATACAATAAAATAAGTTCAAAACAATCAAAAACAAGTATTAGATTTCTAAATGTTCTATCTGTGAAACTGTGTAATCATTTATTTTTGTGGGAATTAGATTCTAGATGATTCGTTGTTTGAAGAGGCCAACGTAATCATCTCTGAAATATATAAAATATACTAGTATTCTACATTAGGAAGTTTCTTCTTCGACCACATTGAGCCCACAAAGTAAGCAATTCTTAAGTATTTCTTTGAATATTGGATATATGCATTTTTTGATACTAACAACTGATTGTACATAACTCCAAGTAAAGAATGAAGTACCAAGTAAAGAATGAAGTACCATGTAAAGAATGAAGTACCATGTAAAGAATGAAGTACCATGTATGCATGTCAATTCTCGGGCCTACGCATTCAAAGTGATTTAAGGATAGGATTAGGCGTTTGTATGCAAATGAGTTAATAGAGATTTTAAACAAAAAAATGTGTATTTTTTTTACAGAGAAAGTTTTAATTTATTTCCTTATACAAACTAAGTAAACACAACATGTTAAAGCTAGTGCATATAATGACGTCATCCTATGTTCTTTTTCTATTCAAGGTAATGAAGCATCGTCGGGGCAAGGGCCCATCCTATTCAATTTTGAATAAACGATGTATAGTATTTAGAAAAATGTTCTTAATCTTCTAAAAATTTATAAAATAACTGCACAAAACATATGCACTTTCTCATTTGAGAAAATAATTAAGACACATACATCGAACTTAAATATGCTTCTTGTCAGTTTGACTCTATTTAATCAATACCCAACTATTCTCACAGAGTGTTCGAAGGATTTATGTATCGTAAGCATACTAGGCTGAAAAGTGCACGGCTTCCATTTCTGAAGAAAATTCGACAAAGTCTATACAGGGGAGCAAACTCATGACCCCGAGATAGTCTGTCCGATGACCTACCGATTACGCCACAGACGTCGTCATCTATAGCATTGTACAGTCCTGAAACGTTCTACTTTTCCAGCTGAATGGTGAACGACAAATAGCGAACAGTGAGTTAACGGTGTGCGAACGGTGAACGTAACTGGGTGAATGATATTTGAGCGGTGAACGCAGAACGCGAACGGAGCGCAAACGCGAGCGCAAAATAAACGGTGAACGAACAGTGAACGCAAGATGAACGATTTACTGAGTATTCGGAATTCCCCCGATCTTTTCCTTGCATTGATATTATTCTATAATTCTAATTTCAGGTGCTTTAATGAAATTAAACAATAGTTAAATAAATAGATAAATAAATTAGACAAATAAATACATAAACAAATAAATAATAAAACATTTATGTACCTATGATTTATATCGATATTTTTTAACACAATTTAATTGCCGTAAACCATGCGTATTTGTGTCTGAACGCGTGAAGTTTAAATATAAAAAAATAATATTTTTGTATAGTAAATACTTATCCTTCTGACTTACAAAATAATGTGGACTCCAGAAGCTAAAACTTCTACCTATAGAATGAATTAATTACATTGAACGCGGTTGAAACAACCATACATGTATTTCCGCGCCAAGGCGATTCTGAGTAAAATAACAGATTTATTTAAATTCACAATTGTCTGTTGACGTATTGCATAAAAAACACTCGTATTTTAAAATTACAACTAAGATAAAGAGTATAATATACGTGCTAAAAGCAAATATTGAAGGATTTTTTTGACAGATAATTAAAAGATTTGATCTCAAATATGCGATAGTTTTAGAGATATAATTAATTAAAGTTGACTTACGAATTCCTGCGACTAACGAGATATTGCGAGATTAAAATTCTAATGCAAAATATTCTATATTTTTGTGCCTTTTGTATTCTTTTATGATGATTATTCTAAGTAACTTCTACATGTATCTGTAGACATTTTCTGGCCTTGATTAAACTCGGTCAAGATGATAGAAAGAGGCATTCAAGTTATTTGTAATAGATCTAGGTTAAATTTTCAAAACTAAATAAGGAATGTCCCGTCATAGATTTTATTGAACACAGAAATCTAAGAGAGAGAGAGAGAGAGAATGAGAGAGAGGGAGAAAAATATACCCCTCAATTCTCAGATATCTGTTGTATCAAATAAAAATTCTTATTATTTTTCTAAATATTCCATGCAGTAAAGGTAAACAATTTTTTTTAGATTAACAAATCCACTTGACAGTAATCATCGGCTTTTATTTTCCTTCATCAAGTTTACACGGTTCATAAGAATTCCACGTGCTGTCAATCAAAATCATGCGACACAGTGGAGGTGTGGAAATCGCGTTGCACCGAACATGCCGAAGGCAAAGAGTCACTCGGTATTTCCCAGAAGTTTTAATATTTTTTCCTATCATTTCTAGATCTGATTTTTGCATTTCTGCAGGAAAAAAGAAAAAGTAGGAATGGATACTTGGAAGGCTTAAGTTTTAAATTGAATTTGAAACATATTTCCTGCCAATTTAAAATACTACTGTCGGCACAAGAGTATTCTAAAATACTATTGTTTAATGACTGTTTGATGTTGCTTTTTAGACTAATTTTCTTGTAATACAATACACATTAAATATAGTAATTAAAATATACTGAAAATACTCACTAAGAATTTAATTTCGGGAGAAAAGGCACCGGGAGGGGGGGGGGGGTAAGTATACTGAATGGCTAACATATATTTAGGTACGGTGAAAGAAGGAATTTTCCTTCTCTAATAATAGACTATTTTCAACAGTTAGTCTTTTCTAAAATTGAACATCGCAGTTTCAATTTAATTAGCTCTAAAGATATTTAATTAACTGAATATTTGCATCACTATTCATAATTCTCAGACCTACGTGTAGTTCAAAATACGTTGAGCTACTGTACTGTACTAGCAACTGTAGCTAGAAATAATTTTTTTTTTGTGTTCTTGTCTTGTAAAAGACTTGGATTAATTATTATTCATCCATTAATGATTTGTCGTTTTTAACATTACAACAAATTGTTGCCGTTCGTGAAACATTTGTACATCGCCTTTTTTTTAAATTTGATATTTTAGCATCGTTATACATACATGTAGGTACTTAATGTAATATTTTCCAGGGAAATTTCATGAATAAAACACCTGAGTTATTATAATAGAAATATATATATCATAGATAATATTTGCAATGAAATAATTATTCTTCAAACACGATATCAAAGTTATTTAATTAAAAAACGTGTAAATCCTTACCATCAAAAAGATAAATCCTTTCACGTCGGAGTTCCGTATGACAATGAAGACTGAACGATAAGTGAACGGTGAACGCAAGGCGAATGCAAAGTAAGCGGAACGAAGAGCGAACGGTGAACGTTTTGTGAACGGTGAACGCACGCTGAACGAACGATGAACGAACGGAAAAATGGGGAATTAGGACGTTTCAGGGATGTACTTTGAATATTATATTAAAAAAAAACCTAGTTTCAATTATTTAACACTTACGATGAAAAACAAACAAAATACGGTAAATCTTCTACAATAGTTTTTTTTTAATTCTAACCCATTCACTCAACTAATATTCTCTAAAACCATCTGTACATTATACAAAATGTACCTAAAGCATGAAACAATCAAAATTAAAGAAAAAAAATATGATGTACATGTTGCACAAGGACACCTCATAATAGGGTAGACCAATGTAAGAGGTTATGAAACATTTGGCATGGAGAAAATATTGCCGTTTTTATACCGTAATATTTACATCAGTAAAAATGTTCCCTTATATAAAAAAATTTGAACAAGGTGTTTTTACATTTCTGTAAAACACGTTCGTCATGTGACCATATATTGAATGTTTAGTCATAAGCGATCTACGTAATTTCATAGTGACGTCATGAGTGATAGACGATTTCAACACATTCAAATTATACTGTTGAGCTTAAGAAAAAAAAAAATCTCTGAAGAATTTAAAACTTCAGTACCTTTCTTTTTTTAATCAATCAGTAACAAAAAGTAAATATAAGAAATTAGGTATCATTTTTTAAAGTTTTATTGGGTATAAAACGGGTTGGTCACGTGTTCAAATCTCAAAAACCCGAATATCATTTTTTTTGTTTTTATGGAGATGAAAAAACGGGTTGGCACATGATGAAATCTTCCATATAGCCCTTCGGGCTTTATAGGATTTGATTAACCCCTTTTACATCCTTATAAAACTAAAAAAAAAATGATACCTTATTTCTTAAACAACAGTCAGCACATAATAATAATCAACAACTAAAAACGAAACTCGTTGCGAGCAACGAGAGGTCTTCCCTCCGATTCAGGAAAATGACCAACTTAATATCAAACTGAAAAAGTGCTTTTAAAAATCGGACACACGGGGGATTGAACCCGAGTCGCCAGCGTGAAAATCCATTGCGGTACCCATTACACCTTTGGGAACCCGCTTCAAATTTAACATTCGAATATCGCGATAATGCTTATTTTGATTCCAACATACATAACAATTTTTTTTATTCAGTTTGGATTTATAAAATGAGAGCCAGCTTACCAAACTTTGCTCAAGATGATCACATCGGAATTTGTTACTTGAGTTTTAACAGTAATTTTTAGGATAGATAATATATTAGTGAAGAACAGATGATACTGTTTTCTTTCCTTTTTCGATATGTGTTCAACTTTTTATTCCATGCAACTCCACATGCAGACATGCCAATGTAAAATACTTCTGCACAATTGTCGCCATGTGGAGATGAGTTACACGTTCATGAAAAGACGGGAATGTTTAAAAAGTCACTCGCCCTCTGACTGTCAAGGAATCTATACTATTTATGTTTAGTTATATAACCTTTAATAAACAATCTTTCAAAAAAATATTTTTCTTCTTTATGTCTTTTCTATTCATTTAATATGTCACAAGCATGCGTGGAAAAGTAAACAAAGAACAAGTAATACTTCAGAAACATAGTGAATATTAAGTTAGGCAAGTTTCTTGAAAAGCTATTACTTATAACCATGGCTTAGGATAAGTTTTCCCTGGTGCAAAACAAAAGATTTTATTCGTCGTATTTCCAGTTATAGTCATGTTGTACATATGTATTCTACTTTGAGATGCACACAAAAGCAATTTCAATAGACGTTTGAGGAAACCTCATTTAAAACTATACTCAATGCAACGTAATTGCGATGTAGCAATCTAAAAAAATTCTTTACATTTCATAGATCTTTTTGGTAGAAGTTTCATTCATATTAACGATCAGCTGACTTGCTTAATGTCGGATTTTTCGGAGACCTCCGCCATCTTGGACACATTTCAGATTTCTGAATGCGAATATCTAGTGTGTGGATTGATCAATTCAAAAATATATTATATATAAGGCTTTGACAAGACCTTTGTTTGGGTTCCACCAAATTAGACCTCTTGACCTTGGAGTTTGACCCACATTTACTTAAAATTTCTTTTGAACAGTAAATACTAGGACTTGTGTATTTCAGATATATATATAGTTTGTGAAAAAACCTTTTAATTTTTCAACAATTTTGACCTCTTGACATTGACCTCGAAGATTTCCGTACTTATTAAAAAACTTTAACCCTTGCTATAACTTTTGAACAATAAAGGCAGAGGTTTAATCTTCACATATGTAGTTCTTATGAGAAGACGTTTTATTGGATACCAAGAACTTTTACCCTTTGACCTTGACCTTGGAGTTTGACCTACTTTTAAAATACAACCTTGATCATAATTTTGAAGGGTTAGAACTACGGCTTTAATACTTCATATATTTAATTCGTGTGAGAAGACCTCTATTTCTTATCAACAACCTTGACTCTTTGACCTTGAAGTTTGTGTATTTTTTTTACATTTTTGCACAAAAACTGAACCAAGTTCTAAAAAAACCTTTACTTTGAACTTAATTTTCAAACGCTAAATACTAGGCATTTAATATTCTAAATATCAATTTCTTGTGGAAAGACCTTTCATTTGAAATCAACAATTTCGACCTTTTGGTCTTGACCTTGGAGATTCGATATTTACGAAGAAAGCTTTAACTTTTGATTTACCTTTTGAATGGTAAGAGCTAGGGTTTTATTTTCATCCTTCAAATATGTAATTCTTGATAAAGGACCTTTCATTGGTTATAAACAGCTTTGATTCTTTGTCCTTGACCTTGGAATTTAACCCACTTTTTACAAACTTTAACCTTCGTCATAACTTTTGAAGAGTATTCATACTTCCCATATGTAATCTTTGAGACAATGCATATTCTTAGAAACCTACAACCTTGACCCTTTGAACTTGACACCGGAATTTGAACGACCTTTAAAAACGTTAACCTTAGTCATAATCTTTGAACATGTGGTTCTAGGAAGTTATATTTCAATTTTGTATTTCTTTTGAACAGGCCAAGTACTTTTGGGACCCAAATATTTGATCTGCATTCCATAAACCTTTACCATTGCTATGTTTCCACACGGGGCATCTGTGTTTTACAAAAACATCTTGTTTACTAGTTCAAAATGATTTAAAATTGTTATCCGTTCATTATACAATGAATACCTTAATTAAAACAACCTACAAGAATGAAAACTTTTAAACTCTAAATGAAAATAAGAAATTAAACTTTTATTCATGTGCTTCATTGTTGGCACGATAACGATCCCTCACTGCTCAATGGCCCTGAGTGCCGAGTTAAGGTCAAAATTTGAAGCCCTTCACCGGCATATGGTGACGTCTCCATATGAGTGAAAAATTCTCGAGAGGGACGTTAAACAATATACAATCAATCAATCATGTGCTTCAAACAGACTTGTTAGAATGTTCCACATACCCAGCACCAAGCTTCTCCATGATTTACAATTTTACTGTGTTGCAGAGTTTACGCGAAGCATTAAACATTGTGCGATATTTTTGCAATCAAGGTTGCAACTTAATCACTATTCATTATAATTACAAAAGAATACATGCACATACTTTAAAAAAAATGTTGAATCGTTAACCAAATAGTATGGCGTAAATATTAATAAAAGTAAAAACACATGTGCTGAAAAGCAGAGGAAATTCTGGTCGATACAGTCGAGCTACTTAACATTTTGAAAGTATATTTGCTGTGATTATTTGTTAGTGTTTTTCCTTATAGAATTACTGAATTAGAAAAAAAGAAACTTCGGAATTAGTGAAATTCTTTTGAGTTCCTTGAACATGTTGAAAATTTTAGGCAATTGATTTACATCAATTAAATGACTCCGGTACGATGTAATGTTTGACTAACAGTACTAACATAATTCTAGAGCTTTGCTTCTATTGAAAAGTCATATTTAATGATTTTTAATTAAACAATCTATTTTAAGGCATTTACCAAAAAAAACCGTTACATAGAAGTGTGAAAACAATTTTTTTTTTTGGCTTTGATCCTTCATGCGTAAAGTCCGACGAGGGTCCAGGAGATAATTGATTGTGAAGGGTGAAGCCCTAGTAATTAAGTTTTTTACCTTATAGAATTGATTTACAGTAGAATTGTTTGATCAAAGTTTCAGTTAGAAATAACTTTAATGTTTGGATTATCTTATTATCACAGATAATTTACTTTGTCGGCAAAATTTTTACTGTGTCGCAGGCATAACATTCGAATCGTTGCTGCATGTGTCGGAGAAAATTTTACTGTGTCGGTAGCAACTCAGTAAAACTGCTCATGGAGAACCCTGCAGCACAGCTTTTTTTGCCTTTTATTTTAAGAAAAACAAATTAATAAGTGAAACTTACCTAAGATTCTAATTCTTGGTGCACAAACTTCGATGGTTTTGTTCCCAAATTCATTTATTAAGCAATGGTAAAACATATTGTCGGGAATATCTTTGCTACATGTGTTGTTTTCTCTATATTTCCAGCAATTCATTTTTCCCTCCGACTTTTCGAGCTCTCTTTTATTTGAAGGACAGGAATTAACAATCGTCTTTGTTTCTTCGGAAATTGCACACCGACTCCCAAAAACTATAAAACTCTGAAAGTAAAATAAAACAAAATGTTTATTAGGTTCTAGTCCAAGAATTAAGCATATTTTTTTCTGTACCTCTATACAAAAAACTGTGAATATTATTTTAGCTTTTATAATTGATTCAATTAAATTAAACATTGCCAATTAAACTACAGTACCGACCGGACACAACCTAACAGAAAGCGAACCCGGAGCGGACCCCGGGTTCGCTCTCTGGGTCTGCTCCGGGTTCGCTCGGGGTCCGCTAGGGCTGACCCCGAGCGAACCCGGAGCGCACCCAAAGCGAACCCGTAGCGGACACCGAGCGAACCCGAAGCAGACCCAGAGAGCGAACCCCAAATTCAGTAGCTGTCCCAGAGAGCGAACGCGTGTTCGGTATTTCTTTACAGAGCTGTCAATCAGGATTAGGATTAACCAATCAGCGCATCAACCAATCAAAATAGCATATTGATCTGTCGATTGGGATATAAGATCGAACGTGTTGATTTAGGTCGACATAAATCCAAACACTTCACATACAAGTAAAACGTGTGAATGTGCTGTGTTAATCTATTGTGCTAATTAAAATATAATTAAATAACTATTTATTTTAATTCTCCGGGTTGTATTTTATATTTATATAATATTTAATTTCTTTTTTATCAAAGCAATTAATTAAATAAATTGGATAAATACATCAGTCAATGCATAAAAATGGAAATCAATAGATATTACAATTTTTACTGACAAAAAGCGGAGAAAAGAAATATAGTTGGTTTTCGACAATTATTGTAAAATTTCATCATCTCAAGTTGAATTGGAAATTTATATAAACATTATTAAAGAAAGAAAGAAATCCGAACCGCTATAAAGTACGTCTGGTTTATCGGGGTAAACTCAGGTGAAGTGCGATTTACATAATTGAAGGAATTAATTACGCTAATTAATCACGACATTTAGTAAATCGTACACTGTTTCATTCTCTCAAAACGCGTAACTATACTTGACAAAGAATAATCAGAGAAATATAATATAGAAGGGATATTTTAACATATGAATTATGATCTATTATAAATTTTGAAATGTTTTAGGACTAATTATTGGAAAAAAATAATTAATAAAGGCGTAGTTATGTGGGTTGTTCGAAAGATGGTAACGTAAACTAACTGTAAAGTTACACTAAATTGAAAGAATAATCTAGTTAAGTCTAATTCACGTTCATTCTGGTGAAATCATTCAGTTTGTTAATACCATTAGGGCGGAATGACTTTAATCTGTGCATCTAGAAGGAAGAGTTTTATATACACGCATTTTTTCATGCCCAAGAAGATTACGAAGATCAATAATTTTGATGTAAAGAATGACTCTTCATAACATTGCGATCTGGCCCCTTTTTAAACACGGATTTTTGCCTTTTCAAATCAGAACATTGACATATTTTAGCTAAAATGTACAATTATGGTATGAATACAAACAGTTCAAAATCTTTTTTGATAGAGAGACTCTCAATATATACGTAATATCAAACAAATGAAATTGCATACATCAGTGCCAAATCTCAACTTCGCCATTGCGGCTATGTAGGTCATTGTATTATTTGAATAAGGAGGCGGAGCGTCAATCAAGCGTGCGAATAGAGTGAATATATTGTGGAGTGTTCGACGTATACTTAATATCGTTTTTTAAGTGATATCTTATTAAATAACTAAACAATCTTAAAACCCCCTCACTTTTTTTTCGGGATTGGGTCCGACAATATGTAATAATTTTGGCAGGTTTAGGTTTGGTTTTCACTGCTTAGCTTTTAAACGAGTATATCAATAAAATATTTATTTTTGAAATTCGTTGAAATAAAATATAAACACAATGACATGGTTTCTGTAAACATAATGTCTTACAAAAGATGGTATTTTTAGGACTAGGTAAGTATTTATTAAGTTTTTACAGTAACCTAGCTTATTTCTCAAGGGATAATTACGAGTATTTTAATTCTAAAGTGATAATAATTTCATTAAAGTTTTTTTACATGTAGAATTGATTATCAATAACATATAATTTTGCAAAAAATCTTAGTGTTCCAACAAATATATGTATGCGGTTCAATTTTGATAGCAAGCCAGGATAATGTTGATTTGTAATCATCATGCGTTCATTGGACAAGTGAGAGGGGCATACACGTGCTTTTTTGTGCAATATAACATTATGTTTAAGAAATACCTGTGCGCAGAGTGTCTTTCTTATACCCCATTCATACGACGAAACTTTGCTTATGTGTGCAAATTTACTTATGAGTATATATACACACATTAGTAAAAGTTAATTTGTTATGCGTTCAGACGAGATTTATGTACTGTAAGTAAATCCTTATTTTTTCATATAAAATAAGGTGATCCACAGATTCAGAAATGTGGAACCTTATAGAAAAAGGACATTTCCTTACTATTTGGGTATAAGACTAACTCTTCAATGTTCCTCAAAGAAAGTAGTGGGAAATCCGATCCATTTATTTTTGGTATGGAAAAAAGCGAATTAACTTAATAACTTCTAGGAAAAATTTCAAATGGAAAAAGGAAAATTAATTGAAATCATAGTTTAAAGTTTGACAATGCTTTGGCCTCAGTTCTAAAGACTTTAGAAGAGCCGTTGAGAGTTCAGAAACGACGACTGTTGCCATCTACTGTATGGCGTCTTTAGCAGAGTAAAGTACGACTGGGAATCTTTTTGGTGTTTTTAAATCTACAGTATATCAAGTTTGCGAGGTCATTATAAAGTTTCTGCTTGAATATTATATGTTTTTCCAGGACAATGAAATAGGCAATCGATTTAAAAAAAAGAATCAAACAAAACAAAATATGTGAATAGGAAATAAACACGAATCCCCTAGGAATGAATAGTGGGATCAGGGTGCCAAGGAACGAGAATACTTAAAAATGCTTAATTTCAACATGTTTGTTGAAATTCCTGTAGCATGAATTTATATGTCAGTAGCTTGCCTTGGTTTAAAACAAAAAAAGGTAGAAGAAAGTCAATCTAAAATGGTACTGGGTGATTGATGCAATGCCTATTCCTATAACAGCCCCGGAGCATTCCCATGAAGACAACTTGAATACTAGTAGTAACGGTATACTTATTAATTATACAGTGCACAGTCATGTTTTTGCGATCACAATTATATTTTCATAAATTTGAGGCTTGAACATAGGTTTGCCAGGAAGGGTGCAAGATGCGCACGTTTTTGCAAATTCAAATTTATCTCAGAGGAGACTGGAGATATAGTGTGGATCCTTGTTTTCAGAGTTGAAAAAGCCATTTGTGGAAAGAACTTTGCTAGCACAACCCGGTGTATCCTTTAAAGACTGCAAAGCAGTACCCTTATAAAACTCAAGTTACTTTCAGCTGTCATTGGTGTACAGGAAAGTTGACCATAAAAAATCCAGTTTTTTTATGTTTTGATTTCTAGCCACCATGTTCAAAGACTGATATTATATAGACAACAATACATTAACAACCAAATACATACATACCGGTAAGTAAATTTGCTGCGTGTTCATACGACAAAATTTACACACTTGAACTAAAAATTTACGACAACATGTATGCAAAAGTTAATTTGCACCTAGTCCTGACTAGGTGTAAATTTACTCAACTGTGCAGAATTTACATGTGAGCAAATCAGTTCATACGACCAAAATTGCACATGTGAGTAAATTTACATATGAGTAAAATAAACTGAGGTATGCAAATCATGTCGTATGAATGGGGTATTAGAAACCGTTTTCATTGACTTTTCACGGGATCTGCAAATAGCACAATATTTGTGTGACTTTGTGCCGTTGTAAAATGTTTTAACGTCAACATTGCTCCTAGAAGTCTGAAGCTTCCCCCTATTCATATGGAGGGTGCATTTTGTGCAGACGTGGTCATCTCCCGTGACCTTTCCTCTCGCAATACGCGCTAATTCACTTCGTTCATCTTTCCCTTGAAGGTTCTTCGATTAGATTTATTTGTGCGCTTTTTACAAACAACACAGTTTATACTTTTAGGCATGGTGTATACTAGTTAAGTGCTTTCCGATTATAACACTGTATAATGACGGTTTTAACAGAAAAAGGACTGTATAACTTTAATATCTTCCAGCAGTTTAAGTGAGAGTTTTCTTGAAACAGACGCACGTGTCTAATATATAAACATAGTAAAAAGCGGAATCAACGATACCTAAAGAGAATTTTTAATTATTTTTAATAAATATAAGCAGTGATTAATTACCAGATGTATGCTATAGGTCCCTGTAGTAGATCGATAAATACTTACCGAAAGAAAAAGAAACATACAGAAATTGGCAAAAATAACGTTCAATACTGTATAGCAGGTTAAAATCGCGGTCGGAAAAGATCGCGATTTGTTCAATTTTCAGCAAATCGCGGTCGTTTGAATTCGCGGAAAAGGAAAAACCATAAATTTCTTAAACAATACTTGCAAGCATTTTTCTGTAGGTATATATTGTGTGAAGTGTTATTTCCCGTCTCTTTAGAATATTACGAAAGCCTCTAATGTATATGAGCTGTATATCGCACATATCAGACAGAAAAGTAAAGTCTATATATTGTGTCGATTTTGATCCCGATTGAATAATAACGAAACACCGGACTGATCCCGATTTGAAGTCAAAATAATGCTACGCATTTATTTTTTGTTTATTTCCGGGTCCAAATCAGAAGAAAATTATACCGTAGTAAAAATGTTGAACGTTTAATCATATAATTGAAATTAATTAATTGTCATTACCCTGTTTACCAAATAAATGCCTTGATTAGAGGTAATGACTGAGTGATACGCACCGGTGAAATTAAACAAACATGTTTTATTAAATAATTACATCGCACTTCTACTAGATGGCAAAATTAATCGTAAGCTATAGAAATGAATTAAACAATTAATAAGCTTTCAAAACAGCAACAACTACGTGTTTGTAATTGATCCAGACACTCGCATAATTATGCGGACAGTCTACATTTAATCACAGAAAA